GAAGCTGTTGGGAGATTGGAAATTTATCAAACAAGAGATCCAGTTAAGGAGAAATTTCTTGACTGTGAGAACAATTAACCAGTGGAACGGCTTGTCTCCAAAAATTATGGATGCTCCATCACTGGAGGTTTCGAAGAAGAGACTGGACAGCCATTTGTCCAGAATGACCTAAGGTCTCCTACTTGAGCAGGAGGTTGGACTAGAACAGGGGCCAGTAACCCGAGGCTCTGGAGCTGCATGTGGCTCTTTCATCCCTCTGCTGTGGCTCCCTGTTGTTCAAAATATGTGTCACAAGCACCAATGTGCTCCACCTGCCAGAACGCGATTTATTGAGCTTTTCAACCCCCGGTAGGCCAACCATGGTTAAATCCAAGAAAAGGAACATTTCAGAAGAAAACAGATCCTTTAATTTAAATACATATGCTTGTTTTGTGGCTGCTCAGGAAACAGTCAGGGATGGGAAGGGTTTTGTGGCTCCCGGTGTTTTCTTTTCTGTGGGAAACGGGTCCATATGGCTCTTTGAGTGTTTAAGGTTGTCGACCCCTGGACTAGAAGACCCCCCAAGCTCTTTTCACTGTTGTCCTGTATTAAAAGGAAGAGGTTGACTTAAAAGTCACCGATTTTCTAAAAGGAAGAACGCACACAGTTCTAGGGAGCGGACTCCGTTTTCTGCAAGAGTTCCACCAAGATCTTGGTCCAAAGATAGGACAGACGATCCCTCGGGGGGTATTTTCATTTTTGTTTTATTGTGCTCCGGAAGTCTCTTCGGCACCCCTGTTTAAAGTGTCCGCTGGTCCAAAGTATTATTTAAAGCTACTGAAAGAAGCTGTGATATTTCAGACTGCTATTTAGAAAAGAAAAGAAAAGAAAAAGGAAGGGGGAATTCTGAAAACCATTTTCTTATTGTACATACAAGCCTCCTTCTCCTGTATAATTCTGAAGATATAATCTTATATTTGGTAAGTGTTTCTTGTGCTATTTTATCATGTGATCTGTTTATAAAAATATATATTAAAAAAATTAAAAACACAAACCATCCAGTGCTTGGCTTTTTTTTTATGCCTCTGTGGTATATGTGCATTTAATCGCACAGTGTATAAATGACAAGTTGTTTTTTTTCCCCAACAGAAGTTTCTCATTCTCCTTAGAAGGAATTTCTTAATGGGTTTTCTGTTTCACAACGTCGACATCTGTAGCACCTGTGAACGTTGACTCCCAGAATTCCACAGCCAGCATGGCTAACTGGGGAATTCTGGGAGTTGAAGTCCACAGGTCTTAAAGCTGCCAGAGTTGAGAAGCACTGCTCTAACACAATACGGAAATTGTTCTGACCCAGGCTTCCTTAACAAGCATGAAGCAGAGTCTGGGTCCCGGAAAAACCTTTTTTATTTACAGGACTGTGAATACCTTTCATTCACGATCAGCAAGGCTTGGCAAACAGTCTTTCAGAGGAATATTCATCAACACGAACCTTATCTTGCTTGGAGAGCTGCCAGATAGCCATTTTCCAAACACAGGGCAAGGCAACACTTGGCACAGTGTCTCTTATAGTCACAAATGGAATTTTCCACTCTTGAAACGACCGAAGGAACAAATTGTTCCCTGCAAAAGCCCCCACCCCATTCATTCCGCCTTTGTTTCCTGTGGGAGGGGCCAATCACCTCCAAGGTGTGGCTTTACTCCTACCTCGAACCTGCTTTCTTAGTTGTTCTTGTCTTCTGGCAGCTCTGCGCATGCGCACACTGGGAACAGGCTCCAGCTGTTCTTCTGCCTCACTGCTATTTAGCTCCCTCTCTGCATTTAATGCAGAGCCTTCATCTGAGCTTTTCTCAACTCCCATGTTCCTCCCCAATCTCCTTACTGTCCGACTTTGTTGCCAACTTTGCTGCCCGCCGGCGGACACACAATAGAAACGAAGGGCACCAAAGAAGAAATGTCTAATATTTAAAGCATCTTTTACATACCAGAAGTGTATTTCTGCAGTTCCCCCACAATATCGGTCTGCAGTAATGTTTGGAGCTTTTATCTATTGGGGTAATGGAATTATAGTTTGGGGTTTTAAGGACAAACTGGATGTACAGTTTCAGAACGATTCTGAAGATGAACGATTCCTATTTTTTTCCCCTGCTTCCAAAAATGTTGAGCTTTCCATTCACCCATTTAGAATACACTCTTACCACGCTACACAAAAGTGGATGTTGTACACCCTGGCTATATACCAGGAGTGGGTTCTTGCTAGTTCTAACCTCTTCTATAGAAGAGGTTCCACAAATCTACAGTGACGTTTAGAACCGGTTCCAGCTCCCTCTCCCCGCCCATCGCACATCATCAAGATGAACAGTGAGAGGAGGAATTCTGGGAGTTGAAGTCCACAAGTCTTAAAGCTGTCAAGTTTGAACACCCCTGGGTTTTTTTT